GGGGGGGGGGTTCTTTCTCAGGATAATCAGAAAATACTGAAACTATAAGGCATTAAATGGTTATGAATCAGGCGCAAACTTTGGTTCGATGTCCGTCTTCGATAGTACAGAGCAGAGAGTAGAGATATATGAAGACTTTTCAAACGATAGAAATTTTAACAAATGACTCTCTGGGATTCGAACTGGGTTAACACGTACCTCTGTACAGCATGGAACAAACAGAGATACCAAAAATCCCCTGATACTATAGTTCTCTCAGAGATAGGAAGGATGTAGAAAAGGGGGATTGGAGTTGTCTAGTTTTATCATACTTTTGTGTGGGAGTAAGTGGGTAAATGAGTATAGATAACAACGTGTGGACTTGAGTTTGTGTGTGTGTGTGTGTGTGTCTGTGTGTGTGCGTGCGTGTGTGTAGTGTGTGTGTGTGTGTGTGTATGTGTGTGTGTGCGTGTGTGTGTGTGTGTGTGCGCGCGAGCACTCGTTTGCATAATGGGTTGTGTTTATGAAAAAAAGAAAGAGCAAGAGACACGCATAGAAAGAGAGGGAGAGAGAGAGGGGAGGGGGAAGAAAGAAAGAAAGAAGGAAAAAAGTAAGAAGGAAAGAAAGGAAGAGCGTGGAAGTGTGTGTTACTCAAGCCCGTATTGCTGTAGCATTCGAAAACATCAAATTTTACCAAACGAGACTACCCTTCTCCTTCCGAGACCTAACGTTGACAACACACTCTTTGGAACTTTACAGCAACTGCAGCAAACCTGCACTTATCACTACATGGCATTGGACTGAAGGCCAGAGCCCAACTGTTGCTGGATCGATAACAACAACAACAACAAAAACAACAACAACAACTGCCAAACGAGACCAGTACCCTGTGCCAGTACCAGTACTCCTTGTACATACAGTTTAGACGTTCAATCTAGCTTTCTGTATTTCACCATTTTCATGATTTTGTTTTCTTCTGTTTCCCTTCACAGCGTGTTGTGTGTTGGAGGGGACGGTCACTACTCCAAGGTGGTCACGGCGCTAGTGGACAAGCACCAGGAGTCTGTGGGGGCCGATGTCAAAGACCCGGATGCTGAACTGCGACCTCTGCCTTTCCCTGTCGGGGTCATCCCTGGGGGGTCGGGCAACTACATCCCCTTCTACCTCCACGGGAGCCGAGACCCCCTCACGGCCGCCATTAAAGTGGTTCTAGGTAGGTCGTCGTCGTATATATAATATATATTGCCAGACTTGTACGTGGGATAAACATTCGCTAAGTGTTCCTTACAGTGGGGTAAA